CTGCTTTTCCCGTCCCTGAGGCCGGCTCTGGATCCACCACTCGACGCTGGGGCATGTTGGCCATTTTCGCCTACTTAATTGGCACCACTGCCGTCGGGCTGCGGAGTGCGGATGTTCTGTCCACGGCCGGCCCGGTCTTCATTACTCTCCCAACTCAACATTTCTCTCTAGTTTGAAAGGAGCAGTTCTCCGGGGCGAAACTTCGAGTGCAGTGCTCCGGCCCTCTGCCTGATGGCGAAACCCAATAATACGAAGTAAATGCCTTCCCTCCGCCTGCCGAGCGATTCAGGAGAGTCAGTCGTTTCGTCGCTCTGTCTCTGTCGCACTCACGAGGTTCTCCGTAAGGGTGCGAGAGAGACAGAGCCGATTCCGGATCGCTCGGCTGCTGGGCTCGACGCTCCACGTTGCCTCTGCATTTCCCGACCAACCCACAATTAGAATGTTAAATGGAGAGGCGGGCGGACTGGCGGTGCGTACGAGGGGGGTACGGGACGGTCCAGGATGGTCCAGGATAGTCCAGGATATAGTCCACGATATTCCAGGATAGCCCAGCCCATGATGGTCCAGGATGGTCGAGGATGGTCCAGGATGGTCCAGGATGGTCCAGAATAGTCCAGGATAGTTCAGGATGGTCCAGGATGGTCCAGGATAGTCCAGGATAGTCCAGGATAGTCCAGGACAGTCCAGAATGATCCAGGATAGTCCAGGATGGTCCGGGATAGTCCAGGATAGTCCCGGAAGGATGGTCCAGGATGGTATGGTTCGGGATGGGTTAAGATGGTCCGGGATGGTCCGGGATGGTCCAGGATAGTCCAGTGCCGGCGCAGGCGTCCTCTTCAAAGACTAGCGGCTTTTCTCATCGTAAAGACGAGGCTCGGCGGCGGGGTGGGAGAATATGATATCCTTTTGGAAGCTGCTCAGCAGAGAGATGATGTCTGTTGTTGGCCAAGTTAGTTCTCTTCTTGTAAAACTTTGATGTAACGTACGGCCGCCGTGAGGGATGGAGGGTGTTTGCCTTGCCGCCGTGAAGACAGGGCGGGGCGGGGCGGGGCGGGGCGGGGCGGGGCGTGCGGCGCTCATCGCCAAGCCAAACAACGCCGCCGAGTCCGCGCGGTACCGGCCCGGCGGCCCGGCCACGTGTTGTCCTTGCGGTGGTGCGGCGCCTCGCGCGCCGCCGAGGAGCCGCGAGCAGCACAAGACCGCCCCGCCGCCACGCCGCCACCGAGCCCCTCTCTAAACAACGGCCTGTGCTTGGGAGCCCCTCTCTAAACAACGGCCTGTGCTTGGGACGCCGTATCCCCGCCGCGCCGAGGCAAGAAAGTTGCAGCGTCTTTCACTGGGGAGGGGGAGGGGGAGGGGGAAGCTGCGAAGCCCTGAAGGCCCCGAAGGCCGTGGTGGTAGTGGCCGTAAGCCCCGCGGAAACTGTTCCGCCTCCTGACGGCGCGGCGTTCCACGCGGAAGGGCGCCGCGTCGACGGGCACGTGTGGCGGCCGCAGGTCGTGCAAGTGCAACCCCGTTGTTTGGAAATTCGCGATTTGTCATTTTCTCATAGAAGTGACGGGGAGATCACATGCACTGCTCACGGTAAAAACGGTACCTGGTTTTCCCAGGAAGCCTATGGTAGAGACATAGGTGATTTCCAGGGTGTTCCTGAGAAAACCAGGAACCGTTTTTACCGTGCTTGGACTCTACACCACTCCGTCGCACAGTGGTCTAGAAAAGCGGCGGAGGCGGTCAAAATTCTGGATGGGTTTTGAGCTCCGGCGTCGCTAAATGGGACTCGAACCGAACGTGTGGCCCCACCGATGGATAGCTCTCCCAACGAGGAATCCATTGGTGGGGTCACACGTTTAGTTCGACTCCTATGTAGCGACGCCGGAGCTCAAAACATGTTCGGGATTTGACCGCCTCCGCCGCACTTCTGGCCCACTGCGTCGAGGCGGGTCAGACTACTCCAGCCTCCCCGAAGACCCCCAACCCCCGACCCGACTGGCCCGACGCCCGACACCCCGACACGGAGCTGCTCTCACGGCCACCTCCTCAGCCTCAGACCCTGAGTGGGTACTACCAGCGTACCGGCCCGCGAACAACGCCAGTCGACACCCACCAGCCCCTGGCTTTCATCCGCCTTTCAGACGCCTCACAGTGGGCCAGAAGTCCGGCGCAGCGGCCAAAACTCCTGACGCGTTTTGAGCTCCAGAGTCGCTAAATAGGACTCGACACGTTCGTGTGACCCCACCAATGGATTGCTCTCCGAACGAGGAATCCATTCGTGGGGTCACACGTTCGCTTCGAGTCCTGTTTTGCGACTCTGCAGCTCAAAACGCGTCTAGAGTTTTGGCCGCTGCGCCGGTCTTCTGGCCCACTGTGCGCCTTTCGGCTTGATTTCAGCGCCACCAGTTTCCTTCCGGGCGCAGACCTCGCCGCGCGTTTTCAGCTGTCAGGCCGAGGGCCGGCTGGGGCGTGCGCGGGAAAGCACTGGTAAAAAACAGTGTGGAAAAGTACGGAAGATGTCTGGTCTATTATTTATCTGAACTGCTAGTACCTTGCCAAACAGTGATTTTTGCAGTGATTTTGGCGCTATTGCCGTGTTGCCTGCCGTGCTGCCAGCCCTGCCGGTGCCCGCCGGGCTGGCCGGGCTGGCAGCACTCACTTGTTGGCGCCTCGCAGCGAACAGCGAACGGGGACATTGCCGCGTCCAATTCAGGTGGATGTGCCGCCTCTTTGTTGTGTGTGTGGGTGTGTGTGTGTGTAGGTGTGTAGGTGTGTGTGTAGGTGTGTGTGTGTAGGTGTGTGTGTAGGTGTGTGTGTAGGTGTGTGTGTATGTGTGTGTGTAGGTGTGTGTGTAGGTGTGAGTGTAGGTGTGAGTGTAGAGGTGTGAGTGTAGAGGTGTGTGTGTGTGTATGTATGTGTGTGTGTGTGTGTGTGTGTGTGTGTGTGCGCGCGCGCGCGCGCATGTGTGTGTTTGGAGTGTTTGGATAGTTCTCGCCATTCAGGAGAAATTAGATTGCTTGAATTTCGTTCCGCCCCGCGCAGCGCCGTGCGTCGCGACTCGTCCCAGGACCGGCTGGGGCTCCCGGGTGCAGACGTACTGCCACTTCCCTGGGAGTGACATTTTAATTACAGCCGGGAGGTGGGCCAGCGGGGCGGGGCGGGGCGGGGCGGGGCGGGGCGGGGTGGGGCGGGGCGGGGCGTGGTGCGAGGCGTGGCGATGCGGGAGTAAGTAGCAGGCGCGTTCCGGGGCTCCAGACCGGCCTGCGCGTCGTCCGTCGCCCTCCGTATGCCGATGCTGATATTAACGTGGAAGGCGCTTCTTTGCGCCGCGTAGTGCAGACTGATTCCGAGAGTCGTTTTCGTCGCTCTGTCTCTCTCGCATCCATGGGGCGTTCCGTATAGGTGCTTGAGAGACAGAGCGACGAAAACGACTCTCGGAATCCGCCAGAGGGAAATGACGTGGCGAAGTCACGAAATGGCCCCCGAATTCCGGTTTCGTGTCAGTGACCCCTTGTTGAATTTTGGGGGCGAAGAAATAAAGAAGTATACGTGCGGACTGACTGAACGTTTATTTTCTTCCTTCTCGCGGTTCAGCCTCATCATTATTGCCACTCCAGTTGATCGTCGTTTTAAGTGGTTGCCGACTCGATGCGGCCTTTTCATCTTCTTCTGCTCCGAGGATCGCCAGTCGCTGCTGTCAATCGTTCCCGTCGGCATCGCCCCCAGCGAGGCGCAGCGAAGCCAGTGGAGCGTCCGTCGTGCTACACTGGTAAAACTAGAGCGTAGTACACGGTAAGAACGGAACCTGGTTTTCCCTGGAGGCCAATGGTGAAGGCACAGGCGATTTCCAGGGAGTTCCTGGGAAAACCAGGTTCCGTTTTCACCGTGTATTACCCTCCGTTTTCAAGCGTAATCAGTTTACGCTTGAAATCAAGCGTAACATGCTCATCCGCCAAGATTCCCCCTATATAAATGCATGGGGGAATTTCCAGAGTATGGTTCATTTCAAGCGTAACGTCTTCAAGCATAACTTTATGCTGGACTCAAGCATAGAGTTACGCTTTAGTTTTACCAGTGTAGAGTCCGTGGCGCCGCCTGCCGCCTACATTCCGAAGGCTCGTTTCGTCGCTCTGTCTCTCTCGCACTTATGGGTCGGCCCATGGGGGCACACGGGTGCGAGAGAGACAGCGCGGTGAAACAATGCTTGAGGCGCACGCTGAAAGCGAGAAGGGCCAGGGGGAAAACACGACACGCGAAATGCTTTTGCACTCCAGTTTATTCAGCGGGGTCTCTGCCTCATTTTTCATCTTTCACTATCGCCATTTTCCTTTTTTTCTTATAACAAAAAATAAATATACAACACAGCCACGGCGACACGCGATGACGACACGGCGCTTGAGGTTGCCCGGGTGCAAGGGGCGTATTGCTGTTAATGGGACTAGAAGGGCGGGGGCGGGGAATAAATAGGGTCAATAAATTAATTAGCAGTGCTCAAAGGGCCGGGGGGCGCCAGGGGCCGATGGCGAAGGGCGGCGCGGCCGGCCGGTCGTCCGTCGCAGCCACGCCAGCCGCCAGCCCAGCCGCCCCCCGAGGGGCCCGAGGCCACTCCGAAGGGCAGCGGTGCCCCGCGGTACCCAGGGGTGCCCTGCGCGGCCCAATAGCATGGCGGCCGGCCCCGCGGGGGGCACTGTAGGGGGCACTGCGGGGCTCGGAGTCTTTGGTTCCTTCCGCGTCGGTGCGGCGGCAGCGCGGCCGGCCGGACGACGCCGTGCTCGCTGGCGGTCGAGTTGAGCGGGGCGACTGCCGCGGGGAGCGTCGCGTCGGCCGGGCCGCCCGGCAGGGCCTCGCAACGACCTGCGCAACAAGGAAACTCCAGTTACTTTCGGCTGCTCTGCCTGATTCGTCGCTCTGTCTCTCTCGCACCTCTAGGGAACGCCCCTTGAGTGCGAGAGAGACAGAGCGACGAGAACGACTCTCGGAATCAGGCTGCTGGTCACAGACTCACTTCAGGGCTGGTGCGCGCTGTACGCCAGGTCGGCGGCCGACCGCGCTGACCGCGCGGCCGCGTAGTGGTCGTAGTGGGCGTGCTCGTAGCCGGCGTGGTGGTCCACGTGGTGGTCGACGTGGTGGTCGTGGTGGCCGTGCTGCGGGTAGTGGTACACGTCGTAGTTCACCACCTGCACAAGTAGAGTCGGTTGGCGTCGAGGTCATGGAGCCACGCTTTCCAGACGCCGTGCGGTTTCGCCGCACAGTGGAGCGGAGCGCACGGCGCGCAGCGGGATATCCAACGAGAAATGCGGACTGGCCGGTCGCCAGATGCGCCAGACATTGCGGCCTATGTGTGGGCGGTGTGGGCGGTGTGGGCGGTGTGGGCGGGGCTGTGTGGCTGTGAGGCTCGGCGAGCACACTGCCTCATGAACTACACGGACCGCTCCGCAGCCCTTGCAGCTTGCCGCCCTTCGCCCTTCGGGGCGCCGCAGGGCCTGTTAACCTGCCATCAAGGCGCGCTGCACCCGTTCCAGCTTCCAGCGCAACCACCAACAACGGCGGTATCGACAGCGGCGAAAGTACCTTGGGCTTGGTGAAGCGGAAGATGACCATGGCGCCGGACAGCACCAGGGACAGCAGCCCCAGGGTGAGGGCCTTCCACGTCTTGAGCGCGATGAGGGACAGGGCGAGCGGGATCAGCACCGTGGTCTTGAACTTGAGGCCCAGGATGAAGGGGAGCACCACCTTCTTCAGGAAGCCGCCTGCGAATGGGAGAGACTCGTTGAGCGAAGCGCTCGGGCGACTCGTCGTCGGCGAGGTCACGGTGTGCACTCACGTCTCTTTCGGTGGCGGGCGCCGTCCTCGCGGTCGGGGTCCAGGGGCAGGCGCAGCTCGGCGGGCAGGGCAGCGCGCACGGCGGCGGGCACGACGTCGGCCAGCTCGCGCGGCACGGCCATGCGCACGTCGTGCTGCACCAGGAAGCGCTGCACGGCGTCCACGCGCTGCAGCAGCAGCTGGCGGAGGGAGTCGTGGCGGTCGCCGACGACGGCGTCGTCCTGGACGGCGTCCTGGAAGCAGGGGGAGGACCATCAGATCGGTACGCACGCGCGCCCGAAGTGCTCCGCACATGTCGCCACGCAAGAGCGTGTCCAGGGCGTGCTGGGGGCGTGCCGAGGGCGTGTCGAGGGCGTGCCGAGGGCGTGCCGAGGGCGTGCCGAGGGGTTGCCGAGGGTGAGCCGAGAACGTGCGGAGGGCGTGTGGAGGGCGTGTGGAGGGCGTGTGGAGGGCGTTCCGAGGGCGTTCCGAGGGCGTTCCGAGGGCATGACGAGGGCGTGCTGAGGGCGTGCCGAGGGCGTGCGGAGGGCGTGCCGAGGGCATGCCGAGGGCGTGCTGAGGGCGTGCCGAGGGGATGCCCGAGGGCCTGCTGAGGGCGTACCGAGGGCGTGCCGAGGGCGTGCCGAGGGCGTGCCGAGGGCGTGCCGGGGCGTGCCGAGGGCGTGCCGAGGGCGTGCCGGGGCGTGCCGAGGGCCTGCCGAGGGCGTACCGAGGGCGTGCGGAGGGCGTGCCGAGGGCCTGCCGAGGGCGTGCCGGGGCGTGCCGGGGCGTGCCGAGGGCGTGCCGAGGGCGTGCCGAGGGCGTGCCGCGCAGGGTCGCACGCCGCACCTCATTTGGTTCGTCGCGCTTTGTGCGCCCTTAATCGATTCCCCAACCCATTCCCCGCCAAAGCGTGCCAAAGCCAACAGCGCCACCGCAACAAACGCGCGAGGAGCCCCACGGTGGGGCGCAGGGGCGAGGTGGAGGGGGGCATGTGTTTGAGCCGCCACTGATCTAAGCAATCACGACCCCTGCGGGCTGATTCCGAGAGTCGTTTTCGTCGCTCTATCTCTCTCGCACTCTTGGGGCGTCCCGCATAGAGACAAGCGACGAAAACGACTCTCGGAGTCAGTCTGCAGCGGCACTTGCAGCGCTGCCAGCCGCGGGGTCAATATTTGGAGGACCGAATCGCACGTCCGCGGCGTCACATTTTCTGTTTGCCGAAGGAAAAGGTACAAGATGATCCGAACCGGGGTCAACACGCGCCATGGCGCACAGTGGGCCAGAAGACCGGTGGAGGAGGTCAAAGTCCCGGACTGGTATTGAGCTCCAGAACCGCTATCGGACTCGAACTGAACGTGTGACCCCAAAAATGGATTTGCTCTCCGAACGAGGAATCCATTGGTGGGGTCACACGTTCGGTTCGAGTCCTGTTTAGTGCCTATGTAGTTCAAAACACGTTCAGAGTTTTGGCCACCGCAGCCGGTCTTCTGGCCCACCGTGCGGCCGGAGGTCCGAGGAAAAAGCTGCTAATCAGTCATTAATCTGAATGGATTCTCATCACGCCGTGCACCAACCTGGAGGTCCTCGGCGTCCAGGGCGTTGCTGTCGCCGCTGGGCACGATGGCCAGGTCGCGGGTGATGCGGATGGCCTTGTCGTCGCGCTGCTTGGCGGCGGCCAGGAAGGCGAGCACGCGCGGCCGGACGCAGGTCAGCGAGCCGCGCTGCAGGCAGTCGTCGTACACCTCCTGGGCCACGTCCAGCGCCGTCTCCGCCGAGGACTCCTGCGCCGTCGCCGCCGCCACCAGCACGGCCATCACCAGGGCCACCACCGCGCGGCGCACCATCTTGACTTGCTCGGGGGCGCGGGCGGACGGAGCGGGCGACGGAGTGAGTGCCGCATCGGGCAGGCACCGCGGCATTTATATGGAGGCCGCGGACACCGCGGGGGACGGGCGGTGCAGTCCGCTGGAGGGGCCTTAGCCGCCACACCGCAAGGCTCGGCCGGAGGGGAAGGGAGGGGAAGGACCGGGTAGGGCCTCCCGAGGACCGCCAGCACCCTGCGAGCACCTGTCCACGGGGGGGGACTCGGAGGGCAGCACGTCAAAATCACGTCAGGCGGTGCGTAAAGTCTCAGTGTCTTCTCGGCCCCTGTCGTGGGCGCCTGTCCGCGACTTCTGAAGAGTAGCTCGCTAGGAATCAAACAACCGCCATAAGACAAAAAGAAACATCAAACACGTCGGAGATTGTACTTGAGATGTCTCAATGTTCATAATTTTACATCCAATTTCAATAACAACACACAATTTTAAAAATTTGCTCACCGATGGTTTTTTGCTGTTTCTTGCTTGTTGATGCCTTCTGGCCGTTGTGGTGTCCGGGATGAGGCTAGATGCTAGGGGCTGTGGCCAAGGCTGGAGGCTGTGGCCGAGGCTAGAGCAGGGGTCTCAGACGGGCGGCCCGCGGGCCGCTCCGGCCCGGAGCTCGGGTGCCACACGGCCCGCAGCGGGCCGCAATGGGAAAGATAGGCGGGCCAGACTCGGGCCGCACAGGTCCAGGTTCAGTCAGCGGCGGCTGGGCGGCGGCGCGCTGCCTCGTCGCCCAGCTGTCAAACATGTCAACCGGCCGGCTCGCCGTGGCTGGCCGGCATCTCTCTCGCACTCACAAGGCCATATGGGAGGAACAAGGACAGACAGTCAGCCCGTGCGGCCGAGGCAGCGCAGCGCTGGGTCGCCGCCGTCGCCGCTGCCGTGCGGCTGGGTCGAGTCCGGCGTGTCACACCTTCGCCGCCTCACTCATTTCATCTCCTATCTCTCTTCTTTGCCTTTCTCTCTCTCTATGCGGCCCGCAAGCCATGCTCACTCTGAGACCCCTGGGCTAGAGGCAGGGGGTGAGATGGGTAAGAGAAGGACAAAGGCCGTATATAAGGAAGCCGGCCCGGGTGGGGATGAAGGCGGGGAGGGCTCGGGAACAACAACTCCGTAAGTCTGGATCAGGGCGGCGCGTGCACCGCCACCACCACCATCGCGGTAGGCCACCAAGGGTCACCATCGGACCAGCATCCTTTGGGGGGCGATATATCGACTACCACGCCGGGCCTGAGGCCAGAGGGGGTGGCGCGGCACTGGGATGTGTTCGACGAGCAGCCGCAGACGACCGCACTTGCGACCCACTCGTCGATCCTCTGGACTGCTTCAGCTGAGGCAGTCCAGCTCAGAAGGCTATGGCCTTCGATGCGCGTGCGTGCGTGCACGTGTGTGTGTATCTGTGTGTGTGTGTATCTGTGTGTGTGTGTGTGTGTGTGTGTGTGTGTATCTGTGTGTGTGTGTGTGTGTGTGTGTGTGTCAGAGAGAGAGAGAGAGAGAGAGAGAGAGAGAGAGAGAGAGAGAGAGAGAGAGAGAGAGAGAGAGAGAGATATTGCGATTGCATGTGTGTGTGCGGATGGGACGAGGACCGATGGCCACTAATGCGGACACCCTCGGGACGTACCACAATGCTGGTAACGCTTGACCATACCTCTCACGCAGACACAGACACACATAGACACTGACACCCACACACCCACACCCCCACACACACGCACACACACACACACACTCACACACACCTACACACCTACACACCTTCACACCTTCACACCTTCACACCTACACACCTACACACCTACACACCTACACACACACACACACACACACACACACACAGAAGCGTGCGGCGGACGGACAATGGCTGCCCCTTTGGCACGGACGCACCGATCCCTTTTCACTTTCACGAGAGGAAAAGGCGACGAATGAGGAAAAAGTGGCTTTCGTTCTGCTGTCCCTGCTTTCCCCGGCTTTCCCTGCCGCGGATGCAAAGTGGATCCACGCTTGCATTATTTGCAGCCGAAGCCGCTGAAGCCGCCGAAGCCACCGACCGAGAGCGCCAAAAAACAAGGGAGAGTCGGAAAGGAAACCGTGAGGGAAACTTTAGTCTCATTCGCGGACAAACGCACTTTTCGCGAAGGACCGCATCTGCTTTCCGTCGTTATCACTCGTGTAAATCTTGTCAGAATGTCAGAAAACTGTCTGAAAACCTGATCGAAATTCGCGCACCTCTGAAAGCTGAAAACATCTCCTGACAGTCTGTAGAACCCAAACCATCAATATCAGAGTAAGCTTTCAGAATTTCAGCTTACAGAGGTGCACGAATTTTGATCAGGATTTCAGACATGTTTCTGACATTCTGACAAAATTTACACGAGTGTAAGGCACACACTGTGGCAGGTGACAGGTCGACACGAATCCAACACATCCCTTTTCTCGTCTGCTTTGCAATAAAGCAGCAGCACGGGATGGTGCTCGAGTCCGCCCTGCACCAATCGTCGTCCTCTCGGGTCGCTCCGTCTCTCTCGCACTGTGTCCCGTACGGTTACGGGTGCGAGAGAGACAGCGCGACTAAACAGGGCTGGCGCGGTCAGTGGCGTGCGCAAGGGGGAAGGGGGGTGTGTGTCAGGAGGGTCATGAACCCCCCTTTGGCCACTAGACAGCCGCCTGGAAGGTAGGCAAATTGCGTCACTTTCCCCCTGTAAGCAGACAAAAAGCGTGGCCTGCCCCCCCCCCCCTTTCTAAATTTCTGTGCACTACACTGGGCGCGGTAAAGGTGGCGGCAGCGCGAGGCATAGCGCCCCATGTGTGTAATCACTCCGCGAGAGCACTGCTCTGGACCTCTCTCCCCCACCCCTTCGCCTTCAGTTTGCATTAATTAATAGGTGGCGGGCAGCGCGCTGGAGCGAATCCACCGCCTCGTCGCTCTGTCTCTCTCGCACCCGTGCGGAACGCCCCATGAGTGCGAGAGAGACAGAGCGACCAAGCGATCCCTCGGAATCGGGCGCGGCTGTGCTGCGCGCCGCCCGCGGTTAGTGCATCGAGGTGAGGTGCACTAGCGCCGGGATTTCGGGGGAGGGGAGGGGAGGAGGGGAGGGGAGGGGAGGGGGTTTGATGGCAATCACTCTGCCTAATGCCGCTGATTGGCGGGCCAGGCGGTGCCGCGGCCACAGCGCCAGCACGGGCCGTGCGGCGGCGAGGCTATGAATAATAAAATCTAAAAATAGTGAAAGAGTCACGAATTTCGGGCAATTTGCGGGCCGGGCCGCTCGAGCAGCGCGTCGATTGGCCAATCAGCCAATCGGCAGGCGAGGGCAAAGGAGCAAAGCACCCGCCGCGCCTCCCGCTGCTTCGGGGATGAGTCGGTGGCGGGGAGACAATGCCGGCGGCTCGCCGCGGTGCCAGGCGCCACATTCCGGACGGGGCGCTCTCCCTCTCGCACCACACTGGTAAAACTAAAGCGTGACTCTAGGCTTGAGTCAAGCCCAGAGTTGCGGTTGAAGACGTAACGCTTGAAATGAAGCATACTCTGGAAATTACCCCATGCATTTAGATAGGGGGAATCTGGCAAATTATCCTGTTACACCTGATTTCAAGCGTACTGATTACGCTTGAAAATAGAGGGTAATACTACGCTTTAGTTTTACCAGTGCACTCACTGAAAATCCAAACGCTATGAGTATAGCGTCAACCTGGTGCGATGCAAAAGCATTGCACATGAAGTGCAATGCCTCCCCATTCCCATGCATTAGCATAGGGCATTTTCGGGACACATTGCACGTAAGGTGCAATATGGCTATCGCATAGCACGTATGGTGCGATATCTCAGCTGCATTGCACCATACGTGCTATACTCATAGCGTTTGGAATCTCAGTGCTAGGGGAGAGAGGGGGGATGAGCTTCAGTCCGCCATTATGGTGAGTGCGAGAGAAATAGCGACGAAGCACAGTGGGCCAGAAGGCCGGTGCAGGTGGCCAAAAACTCTCAACGTGTTTTGAGCTCCAGAGTCGCTGAGCAGGACTCGAACCGAACGTGTGACCCCACCAATGGATTGCTCGTTCGGAGAGCAATCCATTGGTGGGGTCACACGTTCGGTTCGAGTCCTGTTCAGCGACTCTGGAGCTCAAAACGCGTCTTGAAATTTTGGCGGCCCGCGCCTGTCTTCTGGCCCTCTGTGCGAAGGCACCGCCCGGAATCAGCCTGCTGGAAGAGGGCGTGCTGCGGGCGGCTGCGGGGCGAGTCTCAGGTGGCGGTAATCGGTCGTGCTCTGCCTGCAGACTGACTCCGAGAGGCGTCTTCGTCGCTCTGTCTCTCTCGCACTCATGGGGCATTCCTATGGGTGGGAGAGAGACAGAGCGACGACAACGACTCTCGGAGTCAGTCTGCCGGCTATGCCAGGCTATGCCCCCAGACAGGATTGACGACGGCGTCCTCTCCTGGCCCGCTGGCTGCCAGCTGCGGTCTCCTCACCCTCCCTTCACCCTCCAGTCGGTGCGCCCCTGCCCTGCCGCCGCCTCGGCTCAGAACACTCGGCCGGCCTCAATGATAGGGCGCGGTTGCGGCTGCGTTCCGATGGTAAACTAATCCAGGCTCCGCACAACATTTTCCGGCTGGTGAACTAAAAAAACAGCGTCTGGAAATTTGGCGACCCACAATGGACTAGACGACCGGCGCCGGCGGCCAGAACTCCACTCGCATTTTGAGGTCCAGCAAGGCGCAGGGCGCAGGACTCGAACCGACCGTGTGACCCCTGAATGGATTGCTCGTTCGGAGAGCACCTCTCGAGGGGGGAATAACTCCCCTTTCTGGTGAACACATGATTGCAAGGAGGCGGGATTTCGCGGGATTTCGCGTGATTTCATGGATTTCGCAGGATTGCGTCGGATTGCAAGGATTGTGTAGATTGCGCCGGATCTCTTTAGATTGCAGGCGATTTCAATGATTGCGGTCG